AAAACCACTTCAAATCCTCTTAAAATCTTCTTAAAATCCTCTTTTTACACCCATTTTACCCCCAAAATTACACTCAGACCACTTAAAACCCCCTTTTTACCCCCAAAATGACACCCTGACACACAACACCCAGAGCTCCCAACTGCTCTTCATGGGCATCATTCAGCACCCATGGTTGGGATGTGGGGCTGGGGGGGACAAGGAGGGGATCAGAGGAGAAAAAAATCATTTAAAACCCAGTTAAAACCCTCTTAAAATCCTCTTTTTACACCTATTTTACACCCAAAATGACACCCAGAGCTCCCAACTGCTCTTTTTCGGTGTCATTCAGCGCCCAGGACTGGGATGTGGGGCTGGGGGGGACAAGGAGGGGGTCAGAGGGGAAAAAAAACATTTAAAACCCTCTTAAAACCCTCTTTTTACCCTTAAAATCCTGCCTGGAAACACCCCCCAGGAAGCTTCATCCACCCCACAAACCCTGGGGAGGGGGAAGCAAAACCCGGAGCCTCCCACCACCAAAAAAAGCAGCGAAAGGCACCCAAAACACACTCAAAATTAACAAAACACCCTCAAAGAGTAACAAAACGCTCTGAAAAATGACCAAAGCCCCCCTTTTTACCCCCAAAACACCCCCCCGGGAAGTTTCTCCCGCCCCCCGGAGCTGAAAAAGCAACACCCGGCCCCGGGGGAGGGGAAGTGAAAGCCCGACGTGGCAAAAAAAAGGCGTTGAAAGGTGGCCAAAAACCACTTAAAACCCATCAAAACCCACTTAAAAACTGCCAAACGCCCTCAAAAACTATCAGGGCCCTCTTAAAAACTGCCAAAAAATGACCAAACCCGCTCGAAAATGACCGAAAACTGCTTAAAAACGATCAAAGCCACCTTAAAAAACTGCCAAAAACCTCTTAGGAACTATTAAACTCTCTTAAAAGTGACCAAACCCGCTTAAAGATCACCAAAACCTCCTTAAAAGCTCTCAAAACCTCTTAAAAAAGTGCCAAAACCTTCTTTAAAACGACCAAAACCTCCTAAAATACTGCCAAAACCCTTTTAAAAACGACCAAAACCTCCTTAAAAACGATCCAGATGCCCTTAAAAACTTCCCTGACCACCTTAAAAACAGTCAAAAACCTGCCGAAAAACGAGCAAACCCCCCTTAAAAACGATCAAAACCTCCTTAAAAATTA